ATGAGCAAAATCTCCATGCTTGCATAATATTATATTGGATAAAATATTAATCGGGTAGTTTGTAAAAATTCGACTCAAATTTATATTCATTCGTACATAAGTCACCTGATATCATATATCACGTGAAGATATCGCGTGATTTCCTTTTATCTCAAAAAAATAACTACTAAAAACAAGACCAAATTTAAAAATTTAACTTCATTTGTAGATATATTAATTATTTATTTTTTATTAAATAAAATTAGCGGTTGTAGTTTATGTGGATGGAAATATTTAAGCGGTGGTATTGGGTTGTTATAAATCAACCCGATTAAGATTTTAGTCAAAATTTTATTAGGTAATCCAAGATATTCTGCAAATAGAGGTCCAAACACTTCTGACTATCTATGAGCAAAATCTACGGCCTTCCATAATATTATTTTGTAAATTCTAAAAGCGGGCGTTTTTAATTACTCTAGTGTTAAAGTTAGAATATTATTACAACTATTATGCAATATTAATTATTATAATATACCAGACTCACCTTTGTTAAACCGCCATATTCGAGTCTATCTTTAAAAAAATGACCCGATTTCTTAGTCAAATAATATTATGTAGGCCTGGAAATTTTGCTCATAGATTGGCAGGAAGGTTCTATCTGCCAAGATCTTGAAGCTTACATAAATTATCAAAAATCTCAATAAAGTCGTCTTTAGAAATCGACTGGGCTTTTTAGCAACCCTACTTCACCTCTTTCATATATCATATTTTGCAAGTAGATATAAAAAATATTCTTGAAATTAAGCGTCGTTAGACGGCTAGTTTTGAGCCAATTTTTAAAATGTCAAACCTTTGTGCCACCTATGAGCAAAATCTGTGAGGCTTGCATGATATCATTCTGAATAAACGGCTAACTCAATATTTTGTTCCGAGAAAAATTTGCGCAAGCCCGAAGATTTTGGCTCATAGATGACACAACCGATCTAAATATTTATTAGCGAAATCTCGAGGCCTTTGGCAATATTCTCCTGGCTAAAGAGTTAGCTGTTTTAAACAAATCTTTTCATATGCCGCCATTTTGAGATAGCTCCAAATGAGACTCTTTTTTTTTTCTAAAATTTTAAATATTTTAAATTTTCAAAAAATAACGTTTATAGGGTCAAAAAAATTTATAATTTATTTTTTTAATTTTTAAAACAAACCCTTCTTTAACAAAATTCCTTAGCCTATAAAAAAAAAATAAAACTACAAAAAAAATACTATATTATTTAAAACAGAGATTTTTTTTAATTTTTAAATAAAATACTAATATTTTTTTTAGTAATATTTTTCCTTTATTTACTAATAATATTCTGTTTTTTTCGCAGATGGTATCTCATAAATCATTCTGCCTTAATTTCTTTTTCCCCCTTCATTTTTAAGGCTCTTTTTGCGTTTCTTTTTACGTTTCTTTTTTCTATTTTAAATATTTATATATAATAAAATTTCAAAAAAAAATTTTAAAATAATATTTAAATAATAATAAAAAAAAAGGAATATTTAATTTAAAATTTTTTTTGACCCTGATTTATGACTTTTTGATTTAAAACTAATTATGTCAATCCTAACTTTTGCCACACCTTTCCCCAAGTGTCAAAATATGACACCAAGCATTTACTTCAACAGTTCAGAGTTGAATTCAAGGAATTGATTAGATAAAAATATAGCAAAACTTAATAGTTACGGTGCGACATCAATCTAGAGTCAAAAACCGTACTATCAAGCTAATCCGGAAGATAAATGTAAATAATTGCATCGCTTAAATCCCCCTTGATATGATCATGATGCAGTGAATCCTATAAGTTAGTTGAACTTCATTTCCAGTTATGGCGAAATTATAATATTTCGAAATAAATTTAAAAAAAAAATTGATACCAAATATAACTAAAAGCAAAATATTGTAAGAATAATGACCCAGGACTTTCAGCTAAAGAGATAAGTATACGCTGGACTTCGCCAAAATTTTTAGCGGCCCGGGGCGAAAATGAATTTAAGAAACCCTAATTTGCCTAATACCTAAAAAAGGAAATAAAACTAATGGTAATGTCCATGAACCAAAATTTAGCGAACAGCCAGGCGGGTTCTGCCCAGTTCTATCTTCCGTTACGCTAAATTTTTATCCACAACTAAAACATTTTAAATTAGCAATTATATCAAGTTGATTGAAATAGATGGTACCTTTTTTTTGCAGACACTCCTGGTTATCGTAGTGAAACGCTGATAATTCTATATATGTTGGCGTTAATGTGTTATTTTTACAACTTTAAATCATTTTTTTGAGCACGTTTTTTTAAATTTAAAAAATCGGATTTTGCCTGAAATTGTTCTATCATGTTTAACATATCTATCTTATGAATTGTAGACAATTTTGCTATTAATCTTTGTGTCATTTATAATTTGTATAAAAAATATATGAAAAATCTAATATCAATTATGTTAAGTTTAAAAATTCATGAAAAAATTGTCTGAAATTTATGGGGTAGGTATTCCAAACATGATAGAATCCATTTCCGGTAAAATCAAGTTTTTAAATTTAAAAAAACGGGCTCAAAAAATGATTTAAAGTTGAAAAAAATAACACAATACCGGAAAAAACATATTAAGATATATAAAAAATTACTAAAAAAAATTTTTTTTGAATTTATTTTTATATATAATTTTATAAAGTGCTCTATTTTTAACCTTCATTTATGGCTAAAAATATTTCTTAAAAGGGGTTTGATTGATATTTATTTTCTTCAAAAATTGTTAAATATTGGTAAAATAGATTAAAATACATTTTTTATTTAAAAAAAAACTTACTTTAAGTCTAAATTTTAATTCATTCATTCATTTAGCACTTTTGTTTATGGCTAGTGACAATGCACGTCAAATCATTTGCTAAACAACGACCAAATTTTGTCAAAATGGTCCTTTTTTTAGAAAACCTAGTAAGAAGGAAATTATTAAAAATACTCTATAAAGGTTGAAATTTCACGCCCAGCCCGGACTTCAATTTTATGTGCAAATGTAAGCCGGTCCATTATGGTCCGGTCCGGATAAAAAAATAATACGATACCAAGATTAATTGCATTGTATTTTTTTAGGCTTGGGATAGCCGTAGGTTCAATTAAATCAAATCGCAATGACTAATCCACTTTACACTTATTATATGATGGTGTATTATTCTTAATACCTAAATTTCATTAAATATTTTAGCAATGTAGGTGGGAGGGGGTTGAGCTAGCATGGTTAATGAAAGACATGGCCCCCCTTCCCTGATTTATGTACTGGACCACCTTATACAAATTTTAGATAAAGGCACCGTTTCATATGGTTTTCTTCGGTAAACGTGTTTTTTAAAAATATATTTCGCGCCCGTTTTTTAAAATTAATTAACTGGAAATATATTCCAACATGTGTGCGAAATCTACATGATTTTTGGAAAATTTTGCCATAAACTTTGAAAATATAGAAAATGTCCAAAGATTTTTTTTTTATAAATTTTAGATGATTCTAATGTTAACGGCAAAAAAAGTCTGAAAGTAGGATCGTTCAAAAGCCCGATTCGGGTATTTTAGCCAAAATGATTTTATGTAAGCCTCAAGATTTAGAAAATAGAGGTCCAATTCTGCCCTTCTATAAGTAAAATCTCCAGGCTTTTACATAATATTATTTTGTATAAAAATTTTAATATCTGAAATTAGTGTTGTTAAACGGCTCGTTTCGAGCCGATTTTTTAAAACGGCTAACTCAATACTTCACCCAGAACAATATTACGCAAGCCTGAAGATTTTACTCATAGAAGGAACAAAGGTCTATACATATAATATCGAAATCTCGAGGTTTAGGTAATATTTTTCTGGCCAAAATATTGAGTTAGCCGTTTTTAAAAATCGGCTAAAAACGAGCCGTTTAACAACACTATCTGAAAGTCATAGGATTGATATTTCCAAACACACTGGAATGCATCTCGAGTAATATTTTCCTAACATCATAATTATTTTTAGATACCTTTCTTTTTACGTGTTTATCAAGGAAAGGTATTTTATTGGTTTACTAATTTTTTCATTTCCTGATTTTAAGAAAAAAATCCAAAATATTAAAAAAATATATATTTTTAAAAAAAAATTCCATCGCTCAACAATCGATCAATTATTGTAAAATAACGCCAATGACGTCGTTAACTCCTAAATGCGTGGGTCAGCAAGCATGAGCATAAAAATTTGAACGTGTAAATTTTTTTCCCAATTTTAGCTTCCTGCGCCTCCGGCAAATTTAAATCTTAAATGTCCCTCGATAAGAGTTTAATACATATGTATCTAAATACTTTTGATAAAAAAAAATGATTTAAAAACTTTGCTCCCGTTACATTGCTATTTGATGATGTATTATAACAAAGGCAAATGGTGGCAACGCCATGCCAAAAATTCAGGGTTGTTAAACGACGCTACTTATGAGAATTAGCGCGCTACCGATATTGCTACTTTATCTGAAAAAATATTAAAGCGAGCCTAAAGATTTTTCTCATTGATGGCACAAAGATATAGATACCTATTAGCGGAATATCGAGGCGAGAGCAATATATTAATTAGCCGTTTTAAAGAGAGGATCAAAACGAGCTGTTCAGTTGGGCCAGCGCATAATTTTTTTGGAAAACAATTTCCGGTAGCCTGATAATAAAGATTTAAAGAGGAATCAATCAATAACTTTTTTCAAAAAAATATAGTTTTTCTAAATTAAGTTTAAAATAAATTTTTTTTTTTACAAGCTAAAATTGTCTTGCTTTTGTTTTCTATTTTTTTTTCCTCACTCTTGCAATATACAATACATATTATGTAAAATTGTTTTTTTTTGTAAAATAGCTTTGAGACTTTTGATTTGCATATATATATCCTCGAGGGAAACATTTGAAAACAAATTTTAAAATGCATATTACTCAAAAATGATAACAAATTATTCTTATATTACCATATTTATACAATAAAGAATTAATATTTTAAATTTATATATAATAATTAAATATTCATTTGACACATGATGTGTATTCAATATTTAACAAATATTGGACGATATTAGAGACCAGGCCCGGCGGGCCGAGCCGTATATTTTAAAAAATGTGGGCCGAGCCTGAAATTTTTTTTTGAAATAGCCGGGCAGGGCCATGCAAATTGTACCTCTGCAGGTCTCTGATATATATTGTAAGTTTTAAAAAACTGTTCCAGTACTTTGATATTCCTGTTAAAAATCTATTCAAAATTCAAGGATTCACCAAAGGTATTGAAAAATTATCTTTTTTGAGTTTAAAATACATAAAGTAAAAAGAGGATTAATTACGTTACACACCGTGAAGATGCCGACATAAGCCCCCTTTTGACGTAATGGTAAATGCTCAGATAGAGTCAATCAAATCCAATGGATACTATGCTTGTCAAATTTTGGCAGATACTAATCATCTAATATTTGGCAATGAAATGAACCTTGAAAGTTATTAAATACAAAAAATTTAATAAATCAACATTAAATTAATTTAGTTATTCTCACATCAGGAAGTCCAAAAGAAGAATAAAACTCTAATCAAATCAAAATCCTGAGAAACTTTTGTGCGTAATTAAATCTTGACTTGGATAATATTTTATATACATTTTTACGTTTTATTTTGAAAATGTGTTTATTCAAAATTATTTTTATGACTTCAGAAAATTTATAGTCATACTCACCCTAAACTCTACCAAAATTGTAAATAACAATAATTAATTTTTTTTTAAAAATTAAATTTAGACTAAAAATTATATTGCAAATTCCTTCCATTCTTTAATCATTCTTTAATCATTCTTTTTTTGGTACTAGAAAAAAATATATTTAATGCGACTTCAATCAATAAGTACTTTTTTTTTAAAAGGGATTGTGTCAACTGCCATTATTAAAGTGTGTTATTATTATATGGTACAAACGCTGTACTTCAGTGATATCCATGATTAATATATTTAAATGTATTGTACGTGTAATGTTATGTGAATGTCTAGCGAGTGACAGTTAAAACTAACCAATAACTAAAAATATTATGAAATCATTTGATGCATAATGCATATAGATCTAGATCCGCAACCGTCGACGGGTCTAGCAAAAAAGATCTTTGAGCTGGGCTAGGTAACTTGGATAAAATATTGTTTTGGACCAATGCAGAATTTCGAAAATTTTATTTTCAGCTTAGAATTCAGCAAAATGATGTCCTAGATATCTACAAAACTCTGGCGCGACTTGGGGCGGGCAAATGGTACATATCTCTGATTTTCCAATGACATATAATAATACCTAGTATTACGACGCATTCATTAAAAGTGTACAACAATGAAAACAGCTGGGGACGCCATTTTGATTGTCCATATCATTATTAAAAATTTTAAACGAGAGGCCAATTTATTCCTAAGCCTGACGCAAAATTTATTGAAGAATTTCTTGATCATCGAGATAATAAGGAATCATGTTATCGATTTAATATTAGTTTTTAACATGAGAATAATTACTATATTGGTTACCAAAATAAAGGGTCCAGCTGATTTGCATTCAAGGAAGCTTTCAAATTCGTTATTATGAATGCATCGTCAGTCTAGGTATATTATTACTTGTCATTGGATTTTTCAAAGCAAAATATTTTGATAAATACTATTTGAAGAAAAAAAAATTTACAATATATATCTTTGTATTTTAAGAGTTGTCTAACAAAATTAAATCTGTAAATAATATAGTAAATTTCAAAAAACACAATCGATTTATATAAAACGGTTGTTGCAGTAACTGGATTGTAGCTGAACTCATTTTAAGGGGGGGGGGAAGACAAAAATTTTGGAGGGGCAATAAAGAAATTCAAATATTTGAGTTATTTGAACACAAAATTTAAAAAAATTTACAATGATTTTATTTGAAAAATACCACATATAAAAACATAGGTTAAGGCGATAGTTTAATAGGTTTACAGACGTGCGTGGTATTCAGACAATTTAATAACCAACTTTTGAAGAAACCTTATTAATTTTTTTTTCCATAATTTTTCCATATTTTTAATGTAAATTCAAATTTTTTCTAAAGTATATTATAAAATTGTCTTAAAATTGAAAGGGTGGGTATTATACACTTTATTGGAATGCATTTTCCGTCAAAATAAAATTTTAAAATTTAAAATAACTCGCTTCAAATAATGATTTAAAATTCAATAAATACCAAAAAAATAAATCAATACTTATTAAACTATCGCCTTACCAAAATATCGTACAGATGGAAGATGACAATTGACTTATAGTTGAAAAGAAATAAGTTGATTTAATGATTTTACAAATATTATATAATAACGTTGATTAGTGTTGTTAAACGGCTCATTTTGAGCCGAACTATTTTTGCCAGAAAAATATTGCCTAAGCCTCGAGATTTCGCTAATAGATGTCCAAATCTTTGTACCTTCTACAAACAAAATCGGCTTGTGTAATATTATTCTAGATGTAATATTGAGTTAGCCGTTTTTAAAAATCGGTTCAAAACGAGCCGTTTAACAACACTAACGTTGATCCAGTTTAATTGCAGAACTTGTAAATACTTGTTAGAGTTTCAATTATGAAATATATGTAAAATTTATAATTTATATTATCACCAATGATTGAGCAGTGTAAAACTAATTAATAAAACAAAACATTAACAATATAATTTTGGTCGAGATGTATTTTAATTTTTAAATGCTTTTAAAAAATTTTTTCAAAGTTAATAGTTTTTCTTCATTAACTTATTATAATATATTTATGTGTTCGAGAAACAAAATAATATCTAACAAAATTTAGAATCCAACTCAAATATTTTTAAACTTATAGTAAAAAATATAATTTAGCCCAGTCGGCAGTTTAATAACTTAGTCCAGGACCTAGCCCAGAATTAATGTATAAAAAAAATATATATAAACCCAGCCAAAGCCCATGGGTTTAAAAATGAATCAGTAAAACACAACTTAAATCAAAACTCGACCCGATGTCTACAAATGTGCTTCTTATAAACGTAAGGATCACCCCTTTCCTATTATATATGTATATATATTAATATATGTTGTTGAAAATGTTTAGCAGTAAGTAGTATAAATTATCAGGCTCGGTTTAAATTTACTCAAAACTATAAATGAATATCTAATCTTCTTTAAGAATCTATATTTTTCGCGATTTTTATTCGCGCGATTTATTAGAGCTCGAAATGGTGTCTAATTCAATTTTTCTTATTAACTCTGGATCAAGACATAACATAATTGTTACCTATCATGCCTTAGATGTTATAACAGCGATTTACTCTTCATATAATTTTTTTTTAAACTAAAAATGTTTGCTTAAAATTACGAATTCGCCAAAAAGGCAATAAATTTATTTGCCTTAAAAAATAAATTGTTTATATTGTACTCAAATTTTGCGAAAATTTGCTCGAATTTGCGAATTTATAATTGCCTGTGAAGACATAGCCTTACCCCGTCAGAATTTTTCGGTATTATATCTAGCCAAAATCCTTGAGACATTAAATACATTTTAGGTACCCTTTTCTTTCATGCAGAATACTACACTACGGTTATGGGAATTGAGTTAGTAATACCCTACCAATTAAGCTGAGGTGGCATGAGCCTCTGTATTGTGGCTTAACCAAGATCTGGCAGAGTTTTGTGATGTTCAAAATATGTCCCATGCGTCAGAAACTAAGCTTGCCCCTTCCTAAAACAAAAGATGGTTTACAATTGGCCCGTACTCACGATGGCTTTAAGGGTTAGCCTCATTATCCACTTATTCGCACATCACGCTCACTCGAAATACATTCTCGTATTTAGATTTAGTAAACAACATAAAAAATTAATTATCGATGATGGACCATAGTTCAAAAGTGTATAGGGAATATTTTACTAATCATAAGATAACCTCACTAAACTTTCTACAAGTAATGAATTATAGAAAATGTTAAAAGGTTTGTTCAAACATTAAGAGTTCCTTAAATTAAATAAAAAAACTGAGAACATTTCCTAACCTACCTCAATATCCCATATTACACTACCGAACAAACCCTCTCAAATTTATGCAACCAAAAAGCCTTAGGTGGACCACTATATATATTCTAACGGAAACCATCAATCTTCCAACGACCCTTGAATGAATAAAATGACCAGGGGTGATCCATGATCTCGAACAAAATTGGCAAATCCCGGAAATTCTTGATTAAAAAAGGAAAAGTTTAAGGGTAATTTACGAAATATAGATATACCGCTGTTGAGATATTATTTTACTTTCGATGTAAATAAAATTGCAGATGTATTTTTTTGTTTTTGTTAGAGCCCATAATAAGATCAGCGTTTGTTTAATATGGAACTCTACCTGTTATGATAAATGTTAATTGATATCTGATTACTTATTAATAATGTCTTTTCGCTTGTCGTTACTTTCGTAATTGATATAGTAAAGATTTATAAATAAAGCTCGTTAGTTGTAGTATAACATAAACGGAGGATCATTATTCATTTGTTCACCTATTCATTAGGAAAGATCCTTGAGTTAAGAAGGTTAGCGATTTTGACCTGATCTTCTTTAGCTTGGAAACTATTTTATCTTAATTTTATCTTAATTTTTTCTTCATTTTATCTAATATCTATATATTATATTATACATCAAGATATATGGAGATACGCAATTCATTCTAGTTTTCCAGGTTCCCCATATTTATTTCTTAGGTTTTTATAGAACTAGGGAAAAGGCTCAAGCTTTGGTTGGACAAGCATTTAAAACCCACTAATTTGAAGGCCAAGAAACTGGTCATTTCTCCTTATCTTCCTGGTAGCCGAATCTTTTAAGGGAAATTTTATTTGTATTGTCAGATTTTCCTGATCTCGATCTAAAATATTAGGGGTTTTAATATGAACAATGTATTTTGTATCTATGGAATGGGCAAACAACGATGATTAGTTTTGGATCTAAATCAAACTCTTCATATAAATTAGTATAGAAAAATTTCTCACTTATCACTTTTATGAATTTAGACTGGGATAACAATTATGACCCCTATTAATTTATTTTTCTATCTTTTTAACAGTCTTAAAAATATATATTCAGATTTTCCAGCTGATTGATTAATTTTTGTTCTTAATTCTTTTCAAAATAGCAACTACCATTTTTTTTCTTCAAATATCAGATTTTGACTAATATGCCTTAAAAAGCACGCACTCAGAAGGAATGAGGCGTTGTAACTAAAAATTTAATTTTCGCATTTATTCGATTTTTCGCATTTATAAAATATTTAATTTATTTTGTAATATTATATAAACCAATTTTTGTGATATTTACACTAATATATTTTTACATTTAGACACATTCTTTGGATAAAAGCTATCGAATGTAGTTGCACATACAATTTTGTGAACTACAGTTTTGTGCAGATTTAATTTAAAAATTTCCAATTCGTTTGTAAATAAAATTATTTAACTTAAAAAAAATTGATAAGAAATATAAATATGTTATATTAACAATTTTTTTGCAAATTTTATTTTCAAATAATAAATATGGAAATGTTTTGAAATATATGAAAGTGAAACATGAAGTAT